GACCTCCTACCGGCTGTGCCAGGGAGCTTCCCTGGCACAGACTTCCCAACTTCAGTTAGGAGTTCCATCTGCCAAAGAATTTCTTTGACTTTGTCTTCCCTGCCTTCAAGGCGGTCTTGGACTCTTTCTTTCTAGCCTTATGCTCTTTGATCTCTTCAAAAAGCTCCTTGCTCCCCTTCAGAAGCTCATCCATCACAAACCACTGGAAATGTTCCTCCCCAATGGCTTCCCTCCGCTGGAGCTCAAACGAACTGAAATCCTCGTTCGTCAAAGCATCTGCCAGCTCGTTCCCGTCCCTGCGTACCCAGGTCAAGGTCGCAAAGGAGTCATATCTCCGGAGCGTCTCGGCAATCTCAATCACCAACAATGTAACAGGGTACTTCGTCGAAAGCCCTTTTCGCAAAATGAATGCATTGCCTCTATTATCTGTAAAAGCTTCTGCGCAAATCTCTGCTGAGTCTCCAGCACCCCTCAACCAGAGCTTGAGGGCAAGGAGGGTAGCAAGCAATTCAAGTGCAGCAATGACCCTTTTCGGATTCTTCCCACGAGAAAACAACCAAGGGGCAAGTTCTTCAGTGACCCGAACTGAAAACCACCGGCATTCCTTGCTATCACTTGCCTCTTCCAGCCATCCTCCGATCCATGCCGCTTGCTCTGTTGCTTTTGCATCGGTCCAGATCCTCAAGGAGTTGCTATCGCATGGCACAGGCTGTTTCACGACCTCCAGCCTGCCCCCTTCTTCAAGCCTTCTTGCTATCCAGCTCAAAATGAATTGCACGGCCCATGGGATCGTCAATGCACCCTTGTTCGACTGGACCGCCGACGACCATGCATACAATGGCCCCAGAAAAGGTCTCTCCCATGGCAGGGCCAAAGCAGAAAAGCCTAGGCTCCCCAGACCGGCAGAGAACTCCCGGTAGGTGACCTCCTTGCGGGCCCTCAGAGACTGAATCCACTCAAGAACCCACTTTGCTCTCCTCTCTGACAGACCCATGGCCAAGGTGCGGTAGTCTGTTGTTAGGCCAATCCACTCAGTCACCAGGCCCCCTCTCTGCTTGGCCCATTTGAAGGGGGCCCCAAGTGCAGCCATCAAAGCAAAGGCCAAGACTCCTCCGACCCGGCCTTTTCGACCGATTGTTAGGACCTCAAGATCATCGGCATAGAGCAGCATATCATCTGGGAAAGCGTCACCGAGAACCCAATATACCACTCTCATCAATGCAGCACTCAATCGAGCCCACCAGTATGGAGTCGAGGCGACTCCAAAAGTCCCGACCTTGTTGACATATACCGTGCTGGAGCTTGACGATGCCTTACACGCTAGGAAACCTCGCTCCTCTTCAATGTACTTGAAGCGCCTATGCGCCTTGGCAAAGTCACCAACAAGCGAAAGCACCGTCTGCCTCCCGGCCTCATATTCTTCTAAGAGGGCCCTCTTCTCACGCGGCCCAGGCATCCTCACCTTATCACGGCACCTGATCCGGTGATTCACCATGACTCCGTGAGTGCCGTCATGGATCACCCGCTTCTTTCCGGTCACCTCATCCTCCACCAGAACTGCTAGCGCTGCAACTGCCCGGTTCTCACCAAAAGCCTGTATGAAGTCTTCCTCCTCCATCTTGACCATCAATCCTTCTGCTACCTCCTGATCCAAGTGCTCAGTGAGGTACTTTTCGTGTTCAGCCGCTGACATGTAGTTCTCCTTCTGCCACACGGAGCCACTCCAATCCTCACTCTCCAGGTTCCACCGAAGTTGTTCCTCGAAAATCTCTGGCGTCCGAGGAAGCTCATTCAAGACTCCCAGCGGCAGACCTGTCTTCGCCTGCTCTAGGAAGCCCCCATCTCAGTCTCCTGCCTTCTCCAAGACATCCTTCATCAGACCCAGGTAGAATGGTTGCCCCTCCTCCGGGCTTTCCTGCACCTCCACTCCAAGGTTTTCGGACAAAAGGGCCCTGACCTTCCCCAAGAACTCCTCATCCTTTACCAGGCTGAAGGCATCTCCGCCTTTTGCCATTCGAAAAGCCTCCTTCTCAAGCTCTGTCAAACTGCCCAGCTTCGCCACCGCCTCCTGTTGCAATTGCTGTCTCAGCTTTGCCCACGCCTCTCCTTGCAAGATCTTCCTCGTGCCAGGCGTCCACCTCCCTGGGGAGGCAAGTCCTCCTCCGTCATGATATGGTGCTTCCAAGCCCTTCCATCTGCAAGAGCGGGGGGGCCCTCTTCCTCCAGGAAAGATCGGATTCATGGGGTCAACCTCCAACTTCATCTCCTTCTCGCGCTGGACCTTCTGCCGTTTCTTGGCTGCCTCTTGTCCCCCTTCATCTGGACTCCTCTTCTTGTCCTCTATGCCACTGCAAGGTTCACCCCCCCCCCAGACACTCTTGTAAGAAGGAGGTGAGGATCGCTTCAGCGGTCCACTTGCAGAGGGCTGGCGGCCAGGCTGCTGAATGTGCTGTCTTAAACACACCATTCTCCTTGCCAATCAAGGGAGCGCCCCCGGATTGCCGTGGCAAGGGACCCGAATACCAGCCCTGTTCATCAAATTCGGGAGGTCCTTCATGCATTGCCGGGCGAAGTGGTGTAAAGATCCGCATCAAAAATCTTGTGGGTTTGGGGGAGCTTGTCCCAAACTCCGATTGAGCGAAGACCACTGTCTGCACCCCGTCCAATGTCAACAACTCCTCAAATTGCCAAAACTGCCACATCGACGCTGGCTGATGCCCTGTCAACCTGTCGTGCCTAGTTCTGCCCAAATCCTCTGGCTGCTCCATGAGTCCAACTGTACGTTTGCGTGCAAATTGACGCTTCAATGCTTCAAATGAACTAGACGACAGGGTGGCCCGAAAGCAAGTAGGCGGAAGAGAACAAATAGAAGGGAAGAAAAGCGAAGTAACAGAAGATGAATGAGCACTAAAGAAATGAAGAGATGATATATGATGATTCAAAACATTAAGATGAAACAAAATGAGATGATGATGAGATGACACAATATATAATATATATATATATACATTATGATTATGATACTATTATCACGTTGTTACCAAATCTATTAATGTATATTCTGTTGCACTGTACTTCGGAGCCCAAACGGTAGTCCCGGTCGATTCTTTTTTATCCAGCGCCGGTCGAGCTCAAACGCTAGTCCCGGTAGTAAGAGCCGCCGAAGTGTGCGAAATCGCACGTCCCAACCTGGCATCAGGACAACCAATGCTCATACAAATGCAACACTTGAAAAACAAAACAAATTACCCACAGTTCAACTCATGTTGTTTTGTCGGTTATCAGATATAGTTGCACACCCAGTCGGAACAGGATCGACTTCGAACAACTCTCGGTCGTGGATCTCGTGCCTTGTGGAGTCTCTGCACGTTCAGCTGGAACAAGGGTCGACTTCGGACAACTTCCGGTCGTGGACCCAGGTCCTTCTAATCAGTTTGGTCACGACACTTTGCAATAGCCAATTCACAGCTTTTCGCCGATACTTGTAACTTCGTGGCTGGTGACTATATGTGGCATCGACATGCCGGCCTCCTGGAATTCCATTGCGTGGTGTCCACTTTCATTTGGTCCCACTTGTTGCCGCTCAACCTGTTCAAAAGACTCAATGTCTCTGGAAACGAAACTGGTCTTTCAGGTCAAATCACAACAAGCAAAGAATATCATTCAAGTCCAACAATCGAACAAAAAAAGATGTCTATAGAGCTCTGTTTGCACAATTTTATCGGTTATCAGGTTATTCGCGCACCCAGTCGGAACAGGATCGACTTCGAACAACTCTCGGTCGTGGATCCAGTTCCGGTTTACACCAGACGTCGTTTACACCAGACAAGGCCAACAAAGGTTTACACCAGAAAGAGTTTACAGCAGAGACAGTTTACACC